ATTTTAAAAAAGAGGGAATAGTAGAGAGGAAAAGTGGATCAGGAGGTTGCAACAGCAAGAGGGATTATCATTTGAACTTAGAGCTAAAGAGATCATTTAGAAAAGATCCAACTCAATCCACAAGATGTTTGGCATGTGAGGAGTTTCAGCTGTGACAGTCTAAAGAGCAGTGAAAAAAAGTCTTGAAAATGGAATCCTACATGAAACCTGTGAGGTACCTTGTTACTCCAGGCTAAAGAGAGTGAAGATCATCTTGAATAAATTGGAAAATGATGCTGGAATAATATATATATATATATATATATATATATATATATATATATATATATATATATATATATTTGAACTTTCAATCCTTCATATACTTCTGATCCTTAGCTATGATTAATTAATAATGAACATGTCATTTTCATTTATGATTGATTTCATCACAATTTTTCTGTTAAACTTGGAAAGTAATTATACATTCTTATTGGTCAAAGTAGAGCCCAATAGTGTTATAAAAACCTTGGAGAATTCAAGTAAGATATCTTTTCTAAGATATAACAATTCAAAGCTTAATCTAACAATTGGACAATTTTGCTGTTACACCTGGTATGTGTATGGATGAATTGTTATTTAAATGTTATTTTTTTCATAAATATTCTTTGTCAAATTATAGGGATGTTATATAGCTAAAAATACAGTGTATATAAAGTCTGTTCAGAAAAGAGTGAATTACTTAATATTAATGAAAAAATAATCTACCTAGGGCAAGGCACTATATCAAGGAAAAATGGTCACATTAGCATGTGTTTATTGTGGCGGCTGCTGGAAATAACCAACAGGTATTCTTTGGTATTCATCTGCCAAAATTACAAATGACTTTACTGAACTTAAGATGAGCACAAGACAGAGTTCCTCAGTTTGCTTTTGAACTCTCTAGAGTGGCAATTGAAACTGTGGTACCATTTACATTATTTCAAAATCTGTTTTCCAAATTTGATAGATTTTAGTTTCAAAGTGGAAATTTTAAACTTTAAAGTGACAGATGTCTTGTTAAATTTTAAACTTTAAAGTGACAGATGTCTTCTTAAAATGTAATGAAAATACAAAGAAACGTTTAAATTTAGTTTTTGTTGTTTTAAATGAGTTTAACACATCAGTCTTATTTGAAAAGAAAAATAAGTATGAGTCATTGAAATAATTACAAACATTAAAAAAGTAAAAATAAAAAAAAGCCACAGGAGTAATATTCCAAATTTAATTTTACCTGAATATTTCAGTATCAGTATGTTGATATGTGACTTGTCTACTTAATGTTCAGGTTGAATGATCAAATTAGGTCAGCATTAATTTATGTTTATAATGTGACAAAGTACCAACAAACAAATAAACAAAAAAGTATCATTTGGTTTTATATAATAAAATTGTCTCTTTTTTAATTAAAATTTTTCTTTTATTTAAATCGTTTTTTTAATTTTTAAATTATTACTGTTTTTAATTTATATTTTACACCTTATGACTTAAATTTTTTTTAACTATTGAATTCTTTTTCTAATCCTTATATTTCTGCTTGCAGAATTCCAGCAAGCTTCTAACAGAAAATGCATTTTATGTAGTTTTGGTATTGATGCCAAACAATATGGAATGTTCTAGTATTGAGGAGGTTATACCAGGTGGTAAAATTAGATCGAAGAACTTAACAATTCTCATCAATAATACCACTCCAGGTAAGAATTTATGTTTGTTCAAATTTAACTGTAGATATTAAAAATGAGAAGAAAAATGTTTACAGTTTAATTTCAGCCATTCTATCTCTTTCTTGTCTGCCATTAGGTTTCTTACAAATGATATTTTTGCTTTATCAATCAGATCTTCTATTTTGGTAGTGTGCATGTATGTGTATATACTTGGGTTAACCCCTCCTAATTTTCAAAACTGCTTCTAGGGGATGCTCTCTGGACTATAAATACTCTGCGATAATTTCTCATAGTATCTTCTTACTTTTTCTGCTTACTTGTCAACATGTAAACCTCTTTTGGAAACGGCTGAACAATACACACACACACACACCTTGAACCCAAACAGTTTTCACATTCATTTGTTACACACATCATTGTCTCCATCACTTGTAAGCTTTATTGTTAATACATTGTCATTTGTTTGTACATATATATTGTTTCTTATTGTTTCTTTGCATTTCTTTACATGGACTCACATCCCAAGTCCACCATTTTGTTGTGGTTATTTCAGGAGACAGTTATTCCCAATTTCAAACACTGATATTACTAACACCCAAAAACTGGCCCACAAAAAAATATATATATATATATATATATATATATATATATATATATATATATATATATATATATATATATAATTTCCCATCTTTATAAATTGCCAGTTTTAAATATAAACTATTTGAGAGCTGTCAATGGTTGTGCTAGCGTGAAGTCAAAAGTCATTGTGAGTGAGGGTTTGAGCATGCTGGCCTTGTTCAGACTATTGATCACACTCTCTCCCAGGAACTGTAACTAAGGTCCACTTAGCATAATTGCAGTATAAACCACAAGTGGGATCTGTGGGTGTTGAACAAACACAAATGTGCCTGAGCTGGCCTCTGCAACAGGGACTGACTAGTTTCCCTAGTAGATTGGCATCCTCGGATACAAGCTGCCAGCCATAAGATATATATTCTATGTATTTAAGCAGCAAATGTTCTTTAAGGCAAATCTATTAAAGACAACAGTGATATTGTGTCGATTTTTCTAAATTATGAATAATCCTTGTTGGATAAGTAGGAAATTCCATCAGATAAAATATAAGAATAAATATTTTCATGATAATTCTTCTGATAAGCTTTCCCCTTTGGTACATAAACTTTACAAATTTAAGCACATTACTAGATTGACAGCTTGGTTTCATCTTACAGTTGAAATTGCTAAATGAAATCCTAAGTTCAATGCTAACAGTTTCTTCTCTCACACTTCTTGCTTGTAGAACTCTCTTCCAATATCTTGCTTTCCAGTCAACTTTGACCTTCAAAAATTTAAATGCAATGTCAATCATTATCTTCTGTTTCCTTAATTGTTCTTTTATTGTTTTCCCTCCTTAATAATGGTTTTATTTTTCTCATATGTTCTCTCACACTCAGTACCCTCTTGAATCTTGGTGGCTTTATTGCCTTGCTTGATAAGAAATGATTTGAAAAAAAAAGTAAAATGTGACTGGTGTTTTTTGCATTTTTTTCTCCGCTTAATCCCATCATATATATCAGATTGTTTCCATCTATAAAACAATTATTAATCTGAAAAAGTTTCTTCTTGGAACAAAACATGTCACTTAAAACATTTTTGTCATTTATTTAGCCAATATTCAATCTTAATATATATTTACAACCTTGATATACAAATATATTAATCAATGCAATTATTTTTTCTTATTAATCTCTATTTAATTCCATTTGTTATTTTCTTGTTTCAGTTAACAAATACTCTTATGCAATTGTTGCATCTGTTGGTGTTTTCTTTATGGTCTATGTTATTGCTGGAGTGATAATTCTCATATTTTATTTATGGTAAGAATATTTTCTCTTTATGCATGACTATTAGGTTAGTATTTTATAACGGCTCCTGACTCAAAGGACTCCAAAACATATAAATATCAGGTACTAAGCGAAATGAAAAGAAAGGTGCCAAAATACATTTACCATTTTTGTTAACTGTAACAATGAAAAACAACAATAAAACATGATGTAATGATAAATGAGGGTTGTACTGTAAAAGATTACTACACTTAAGTTAAGGTGGGGTCATAGGCTACTATCTAAGAATATCTTTTGTTTCCCATTGGTGTGAGCCTGGATGTTGGTTATGGCACATCTTGTTCTAACCATTTCTCAGCTCCGGACTAATTCTCTCACTGTTCCATAGGTACTAATTCATCTCATTTACCTGCTCACTAGGTGATAGGTTCTATCTAAAAACAAAATATGCCAAATACATACAACTACTACATGCAACAATGTAGTTAGTGCCACCAGTTAAGTTTTTATCAGGTGATGACCCTTCACTCAGGCATAGCATCATTATCATTATTATCAGTAAGCCAAAGTAACACGGCAGTATATCATAACACCAAGATTTTTTTAGCACAAGATGGGAATGCTGACTTTATCCAGATACAGTCTCTGCTTGATCTTGCATCCATTTAATATATTTCACCTTTTCTGTTGGTGATGTTTGTGTATGTAAACATAGAACATGACTGTCACTCAGTTTTTCACAAACCAGCCAATGATTCCCCTACATTGCATCTCAATTCTTAATGTTGATGTGCACCAAAAACTGGGAAAGGCCCATTGCATGCTCACAAGGAAATGAAAGATGAAAACTTACACCACTTTGAGAAATGAGAACACAAACTGTATGTCTAATATTATGTTTACATATTTTATTCAAGACTTTGCTTTCTTGTCTAGATGGATAAGGAGACAACACTTGGGAAAACTTCTGCTTTATCAGTCTAAAAGCTCAACTTTTCCTTTTTACCCTCCCCACTCATCTACATGTGGTTGACAATATGAACAGGTTGCATCAAACTATGTGAAGGACAGTTTGTCCATTATCAAGAACTGACCAGAACCGAATCCTCTAATCCCAAGCATGACTGTTAATATAGACCAGCAACCAGATACACTCCATATCCGCTACTTTTGTTGCCACATGGTCTCAAAAGTCCCCATCCACTCATTAATTTTCCATTCCCTCAAAGTGGATTCTACTTAGAAGACCAAACTTTAAAAAGAACCATCTGCTGACTATAAAATAGAAACACTTGAGATCAAGATAAAATCATGCTTTCCTTCTACACGTGGATGTTCCAACCATATTGTCACACGTAGTGTACCAGATATCAGCAAATCAGATATCAGGAAAGTGGAATTAGGAAGCAAAGTTCAAATTCTTTGTCTGTTTATTTACTTTTGCACAAGTGCTCTTTGACACCTCTTCTCCCTTCAACAATAGGTTAAATAGCAGAGTATATTGTGCTCTCTAGCCAAGGGTTCCAGCCAGTCCAGAAGAAGGTCTATTTTCCAAAGTCCTACTACAACTTCCAAACCATGGTGATGGCAGCAACTCTGCTATAAAAAATCATGTCAATTCACAGGTAATAAAGAAAAGGAATCTGTGGAGAGTCATGATCGTCTATATCCTGAAAGAACATGACATTTAAGAAAAGTTCTCTTGGTTATATTTTGAATTTAGCCAGTTATGGTAAAATTGAATTGGCAATAAAACTTTGGCATTTGATATTTCAAACTATTGTCTTTATCTTCATTGTTTGCAGCACAGGACTTCAGCTGATTGTTTTATTTCAACCTTTTCAATTTTTTATCTCAGACATACATATATACATTCAGGGCTGGTGCAAAGGTCATGTGCCCTACCCCAAACCTATGATACTGGGCCCCCCATTCTTCTGCACCTCAATTTTCATAAGGTAGTATTCATATAAAATAAAAATTCTATTGTAACCTAATTATGCACAATAATGGATTATATGCAATACAGGTGAACAATTCAACTAGAAAAATTGAAAATAAATACAATGTATAAATACAAATTAGAGACATGTCATAATAGATCATTCCATCTTAAATAAATCAATAATGTTTTATGGTAATTTTTAACATCAGCTTGAAATTTTTCTTGTTGAAAAATTTAAAACATTCAACATTATGGATAAATTATAGTGATTTTTTAAAGTGTTTTTTTGAGACTTAACAAGAGCAAAACAAATTCATGAATTTAGACAAAAAGAAAAGACCCCAGAATGTCCTCCTTGATGGTTTTGATGTATGCAAATATAACAACTAGACTGAATGCAACATAATAAAGGGCACTATTTCCCCTGCTATTTAACCAAAACTGGAGACAGGGCCAGTGCAAAGGTCCTGTGCCCCCCCTTCGAATCTATGATATGCGCCCCCTTTACTACATCTCAATTTTCATAAGGTAGTATTCATATAAAATACAAATTTTATTGTAACCTAATTATGTAAAATAATGGATCATATTCAATATAGGTGAACAATTTAACTAGAAAAATTGAAAATAAATACAATGTATCTAAATACAAATTAGAGACACAGCCATTACATTTTAAATAAATCAACAATGTTTTGCAGCAATTTTTATCATCAACTTGAAATTTTTCTTGTTAAAAAGTTGAATAATTTTAACACATTCAACATTATGGATAAAAAAATAGTGAATTTTATATAGTGTTTTTCTGAGACTTAGCATATGCAAAACAAATTCACAGATTTGGACACAAAAAAGATGCCAGAATGACATCAAAATCTGCAAAAAATGTTCCCCCTTTAATAGTCAGTTGTACTTAATTTAATTTGTAATGTATATAAATGCAGGTAGAAAAAATGCAAATGTTGGTAAGATAGTGAGGGTCACAAAGCATTGCCTGGGGCCCTCAATCAGGCTTTCCACTCCCCAGTTGGTAGTTTCAGGAATAGTACACACCAGACATGTATACATATGATATGTGCATGCAAAGTCACTTGCAGATAGTGTGTGATGGACAGAGAATCAGCCTTTCTTTTATGATCTAGATTACTAACTTGACATAAAATACAGACTGAAAAAAACATTTTTTTTTTATTTCAGTGACAAAAATGAAGGCTTTTTAAGTTTAAGTGAACAAGAACGAGGTAAGTTTTATCTAATGTATTTTCTAGCAAAAGCTTTTTACCCTTGCATAATAGCAGTAAATATCAGATTGTTCAACATTAGATTGGTAATTTATTTCACTACTTGAGACTGGTATTCTTTTAAATTTTTTTTTTAATCTTTTTGCTTCTGCGAGTGAATGGGAAGGATTTGTGTGCGTGTGCATGTGTGTAAGTCATATCACTAAAATTTTCATCATCCACTCCCAAAATCCAAATGCTTAAGAAAAATAAACTGAAAAAGGTTTTTATAGAAAAAAATTCTTCAGTCAGAATATTTCTTTACAGTCTCTATACATTTGTTCTACCTTGACAACGTGTCATCAGTTCCATTCATAAAAAATTCAAGCAACTGATAAATTTATTTGCCAATTTGATCAGGATTGGAGAACTTCTTGCCTGTAAGAAAATGGTTAACATGTGTCATAAAATGGTCATCTCTAAGACTGGGTATGGATGACAAGACAGCATACAATAAAATCTCTACCTTCAATAATTTCAACTTGAGTATTATAATTTTTGCAAAATAAAAGTAAGGCATTATCATGTAAGAAAATTACGTACATTCTATTTACCAAAATAGGTATTGTCTGTTTGAATATTGAATGTACTGCTCTAAGATGCTATGTATGTTTATATGTATGAATTGTTTAGCTATTTTGAAGGAAGCTATGATGTATCAAATTAATCCAGCATAGTTTCAATTGATGTTTCTGCTTCTCATCCATATCCAGCCACTATGTAGATTTATGTTATATAAAATCCTTTTTTTTCATTTCAATCATATTTTTCATCATAAGGAACATGATGAAGCTAAGACGAATCAATTTCAAACTTTTGAACATGATTAATGCTAATCATCAAATATCTCATTTTTTTTCTTCCTTATTCATTTCAGATGAAACAATTATCAAGATTTTTTTTGCCAAGTACTTTTAAACTCTATGAAATACTTTTAGTCAATACAAGATTTGCTGCATTTTACCTGGCTGGATCTTTGTCCACCAAAACCTGCAAATCTTCATTCTTTCTTCTTAATTCCTAAACTGAAATCACTTCTATCAATTTTTGATTGCATCATCATCATTAGTAGTAGTAGTAGCAGCAGCAGCAGTAGCATCAGTTTTATTAGTAGTAGTAGTATTAGCAGCAGCATCAGTATTATTATTATTAGTAGTAGTAGCATTAGTATTATTAGTACTAGCAGAGTTAGTAATATTAGCAGTAGCAATATTATTAATAGTATTACTATTAGTAGTAGTAGCAGTATTATTAGTAGTAGCATTAGTAGCAGTATTATTATTATTAATAATAGTTGTGGTAGTAATCATTAATATCAGTCACACAGGATTTGTATGCCTCACAACTTATTGCCCAGTTTGAACTCAAACAATTACAAAATAGAAAAACTCAAGCATTAAAGAGCTTTCTAAATTAGCCAAGAAAATGTATAAAAAATTAATATGAAAATGAAATGTTTACCAACTAAACAGCAAATAATACAAGGCTGGATCAGTAAGTCTGTAACCTGATAAAGTTATTGCCTAAATTTTGATAAATATAATGCTGAATTGATATGATTAATGGAGAAGTGTTGAGTTATATGCATTAACAAGAAAGGAGATTAAAAGAATAAATATTTGTTTTGAAAAATAGATGCTTATTTTTTTCATTATTAAACTGCAGGCTTTGATGTAGCAGTGTAAATAAGATCATAAAAAGATATCATTTCAAAAAGAATGTTTAAAACTAGAAATAAAAAATCAGTAATTCCATGTTAACATAATGATTTTCATTGATGCTTCTTGGTGCTACTAAAAACAAATCTTTTACTTTTAATATCATAAATTTTATATAAGTGTCAACTCTTTTTCAAAGAAATTACTTTCTATTCATTAAAACTGAAATAAACGAAGATGTATGTCATTTATTGAATGATTCAATTTATTCAGTTGTATCTTTTGATAAAGATGTGTGTTTGGTGTAACATTATTGGCATGGAAAGTTCAAATTCTGGTTCAGTCTACTCAGCCACTTTTGCACTATCCCCCTGTGAAAGGCAAAAATTCATCTTTTCTCTTCCAAGCTAAAATATTAAATAGCAACGTAGACTGGACTCTCTAGCCTTTAGTAGCAGCTAGTTTAGAAGAAAGATGACTCTGAATTCAAAACAATGGAGAAAACATGTGAAACCACTTAATTATCTTCCCTCAGACATCATGGCAATTCACAGATAATAAAAGAAAAGGAATCTGTAGAGTGCCATGATCACCTGCATTCTGAAGGGATATGGTATTTAAAACAATTCATAAGTATGTTTGAAAATTGGTATCAATTCATAAGTAAATTTCAAAATTGTTATCAAAAATATATATATATATATCTTACTTATTATAAAACGCAGATTGTGCGTGTGTCTGTAACGTTTATATGTTGGATCGAATTTCCTACATTTTTTAGCCGATTTCAACAAAACTTCACAGGACTACATAAAATTACCTTGTGGTGGTTCTAACGGGGCCGAAAATGGGAAAAAATACAGTTGTTTTTTAATAAAATCAATTTGAAAAACACGATTAAGACACATCGTGAGAATGAAAGGGGACAACTCCCCACGAAAATGTAAACAAAAGAGCATAGCATGATGAAAAAAAAAAGCCGAACTTGATGAAAACAAAATTTTATTGTCTAATGTTCATATTATTATTAAAGAGGAAAGATCAAAGTATTTTGGGGTATTTTTTTACATTTTTAATCGTTCCTAGCACGTCTGAAATTTTCGTTAAAAATATTGTTTTTTTTTGTCAAAAAAAGGGCAGATAATCAATCATTTTCAATCATTTTTTTCGATTTGATAAAAAGATTAAAATCTTACTTTTGATATTCTTTTAAAAATCAATTATCATTTTTTCAAAACTGATTTTAATAAAAACAGAAATTATACTGTTTATTTAAAATATTTTGAACCAAGCTTAACTTAGCTTTAAACTACAAAAAATGTAATTTGAAAATAAAACAAAGCAGGTCATAACCTTTCGCTACGCTTTGACGATTGACGAAAGGCACATTCATGACGTTTAGATAACTTACGGGAGGAGAATTCTTTCTACGGATGGAAGGAAGTGAAATTATTTAAGTGAACAAATTATTTACCTTGTTACTTTTAAGGAAAACTTTCAGCGCTCTAATTTTCTTTTTTTTTTTTTTTTTTTTTTTTTTTGTACTTAGATTTCATTTTTACGTTTACGTTGCTTTATGGAAAATATAAAGAAATTAAAAAATAAGACTGTTAATAGTGAGATTAAATTTCATAAGAAAAAGGTATCTAATTAATTTAGGTACCTTTCTTATGAAATTTTATCGAAGAAGTGTACATAAAATACTATAATTTTATGTACATTTATTACATTTTACTGTGTTATTTGTATTTCCATTCATTTTATTATTAATTTTGATATTTCATTTATGGAAAAATGTCATAACTGAGATTAATATAAAAATAAGATCATATAAATTAAAGTTTAGCAGTAGTTAAATTTCATAAGATGATACTGTTACTTGTAGGTACCCTTCTCAGTTGAAATTGAAAACTCAAATTAACTTCTCCATACGTGTTTCTTAAAAGTAAAAGGGCTTAACAGTGGAGAACAATGCTGAACTCAAATAATGCAACTAAATTGTATTCTGGTTGGTCTTCCGTACTTGATAATTACTGTCCGACTATAAATACAAAAATTACATTTCTTAATTACCATGGCTAATCTGATTGATCCAAATTATACAATTTTCAAAGTGCTAGACAATGACAATCTCACATTTTGAACATTTTGAAAGGTTGATGTTGCTTTTAACTAATGTTAAAATATTTTTTAAAATTCAATTTAAACATTTTTTAAAAATCTTTTTAAAATTAAAGAAATAATTTGTCTATATTTCTGAGATGAGGTATTATGTACAGTATTTACATTAGTCGGACTATTGTCCTCATCTTTGTCGCCATATTTGTCACAACGCTCCGGCCTTCTGGAAGGTGGTTGGAATTTCGAACTGAACCCTTTATTTCGATCGCTGGGGTAGACTGTTCTAATTCCACGTGCCATGTTTGATGGATGTCAGTTATCAGTTATCTCCTGCTAATTTTCCCTCTGAAAGTTCTCCACTGCCTTAACCAGGAATTGAACTCACCTTCTTTGGGTCTGTCACTGGATCTAACCAACGCCTTTATCCACTGTGCCATGTGTCCTTGACACATCTGGGTATGAACTTCTGAGTATTATAAACCTAATGTTTTCAGCATCATTTTTACCAGTGCTCATATTGCAATTTTTTGCTGTTATCATTGCATGTCTTTACCAGAGTTCATATTGCAACTTTGTTATCATTGCTTTTCTCTGGCACTCCTTATTACTGGTTCCCATATTGTATTTATTTCTATGCTTGGTCGGCTCAGGAGATTTTTGTGGCCTAGCATATGTGCTGATTCCTTAAGTTTACGAATTTGAACCTGAAGAAGGCCGGAGCGTACAACGGCCGAAACGTTGTGACAAATATGGCGACAAAGATGAGGACAATAGTCCGACTAATGTAAATACTGTAAGAAATAATTGTATTAAAAATTAAATTTTCATTGAAAAAAGTTTTTGTTTTCAGAAAATATTGTCCATATTCATAAAAACAAATTAAAACAAATAAAAGCATTTGAAACTAAATAATATATTTGTTTTATTGAGTTTTGTATGTTACAATTCACAGCTGATTTTCAGGTACGTTGGCCAAAAAAAAAAACATGATTTGCATTCTTCAAAGCCTTGTGCTTTTAACTATTGTAATCACTAAAACCGATGGTCTCGAATTTCTAGAGTTTTTCATAAAATTAGTTATGGGGTGTTAATAAATATAAAAAAAAAATATTTCTGCCATGACTTTTAATAAAAAAAAACATATTTATAATAATTTCGATCATCTGTGAATAGTTTCTGAAA